AAAATAAAAGATTATAACAGCATTTTCGTCTTTTTTTTTTTTTTTTTTTTTTTTTTTTTTTTTTTTTTTAAATGTCATCATGAAGAAAACCATAAACGTTACTGCAGTGCACACTGGCTGGACAACTTAAGGCCCCAAAGAGCCATGATACAATCAATAGAAGGATTTCATTACCTATTTGTCGATATTGCTGTTTTAATCTTTTCTATTTCTTCTCTCCCCCTCCCTGTCTGTAACTTTGCCATCCCCTCTCTGCCCCCTGCAGTTGTCCTTGTTCTTCCCAATTGTTTACTGCTTATGCAGCATATTCCTGGTGGTGGTTCCCCTCTACAGCGACACCACCAACTCTCTTGTCGGCATCGCCGTGGCGCTCTCCGGTGCCCCCGTGTACTACATCTGCATCCACCTGCCCCCCAGCTCTAGACCGGCCTTCCTGGGAAAAATGTTGGGTAAGACGAACTCTTATCCATTTCGATTTTGACCAAAGAAGGGAAACCATGATTCTTGTCTCTGCTGTGGATGATCTTTCATTTGAAAGTGGTTGTCGTTCATGTACCCCACAAAAACAGGTCTGTCTGTACACAGTTTAAACATTATCTGGTGCTACACCTCAAAATTCAACTCTTCCCCAAAACTAGAATTGAGCCAGCCAAATTATTTCAGTTTCTGTAGGTAAACATTGGAAGGGAGTGTAAAAAGGTGGTCTGTTTGAAAAGCTAAAGTAGCACAGTTGATGTGTGTGTGAGAGGCTGTTTTGCTCAGGAAGACCTTTTTAGTGTTGCACTTTGAGAGGCTGCTCCTCGGATATGCCTGGCGGAAGCTCTGAGTTTGCACAGGAGATGAGGAGTCTGTTCCCATCACAGATCCGTCATTTTGATATGGCAAACAGCTGCTTCTAACGCCCCCTAATGGACAAACTGCCCTGCAGTAAAACAAACATTTTTTTTTTTTTAATTGAAATTCGTCGGGACCTTGTTACTTTTGTTATTAATGTCTACTTTTTTTTTAGCTACAGAGACAGTTTGAGCTGCCGTGTGAGGTTTTTCTCTGAATGTTATGAATAAGTATGTGCTAAGTAGATTACTACTTTTCCTTGAAAACCAGCTCACACATGCACAAGTAAAAGTACAGACTTTTTAAGAGGTGGGACGGGATTAAGATTAATGTTTCAAAGTTCATTTAACGGTAAAATCCATACAGCGTTGAGTACATACCCCTGTAATCCTTCAAGATGGTTTAAACTAAGTGCCTTAATGCTTCATGGTGGAGAACAGGTCCAGCATTTGTTTGAAAGTGTCAATGTGCACAGCCCTTGAGTGTTTTTTTTTTTTCTTTTTCTCTGTCTTAATTTTCTATTCTTTCTTTTGTCCCCGTAGATCAAATGTCTCTCTTCACCCAAAAGCTGTGCATGTGCTGCGTGGCCTCTCCGGATATTGATCTTGACAACATAGACCCCGAAAAGATTGAGTGATACTGTGACAAAAGAGCTCCAGGAAAAGTTCCGTATGGAGGATTAATGGCCAGAAGAAGGTGCAGACTGCCAGGATTTTGAATGAAGATTGTCCAAAAAAGAAATTTAAAAAGAAGGATGGAGAGGAGCAGATGAAAGGAGTGAAACGCACTTCTTTCTTTCTGTTCTCAACAAACAGGATTTGTGACATGGGGACACACACATCCATACTCTGCCACTCCCACATCAGCCATCTGCAGCCCCGAGTGTTTTAATATAGAGTTTAAGTGTCGCCTGTGGGGGGGGTGGCAGCAGCAAAGTCGGTACAGGAAATGTTTGAGACCCAAAGAACAGAACGACAAATAACAGAACCACAAAGCAACGTTTGCACCGCTTCTTATATTCAGTTATTTGGTTTTCCAGAAAGCTTTAATTTGCTCCGTTGCCAAATTCAAGGACCAAAATGAACTGCTTCAGAGTTTTTTCATATTGCAATTTAAACTTTGAAAAAAGATATTATTCAAAAATTCCTGTTCACTTCTAGAAGTTTTTTTGTTTTTTCCTGGTTTGTGTTAACCCAAAAACTACGTTGGCGCCTCTGTTTAGGGGAAAAGAGGTTTTTGCTGCTGTAAATGACCACTGATTTCCGTTCAAATGCAGCATGTGACACGTTTTCCTCTCTGAGCCAAACCGTTTTCAGACGCCTCCTAGTGGCAGCTAATCTTACCGTCCATCATCCATTTGTTTAAGTTGCGCCTGTTTGTTCGGTTTTTGGGTTTTATTGTTCTTGTCTTTGTCCATTTACTGACAAGTGACAGCCATTTAAGCAGTTTCAATATGAGAAATATACCAATTAATGACTTTACTGGACCATTAGTTTATTTTTTTTGTTCGTTTTTTTTAAAGTAAACCTCAGGATCGGCTCATGCCGACTTGTCCCACCCCAGACACTTATCTCCAAAGATTATATCACAGATAAATAATTTAACCTTCTGTTGCCTTTATTTAAAACGTTTTTTGAATGCATCACCAGTTTGCCCTGATACTTCTTGTAGAAATGCCCTTCACTGGACCTGATGTTTGACTGTGGTGAGCTCGTAGCAGAGCGTCCGGTTCCTGATGAGGAGCGTCCAGCTGCCGGGATGTTGGCCTTCGTGAACTGTATGTGCCTTCCGCAAACGTGGCGAAAGGCCCTAGCTGTTTCTGCCGTTACAATCCCGTATTCGTCGGTACACCTTGAGCACAATAATGCGCACAGTGCTATAGTTTCTCCCAAACTTTTTGTATAGCTCATATATATAGTCTGTTGTCATCCCGTCCTGATAATTTCCATAACGCCAGCTCACATAAGGACATATTCTGTTTTTCTTGCTGTAGTTACTCTGCATTCTTCAATCAAATCACTCAAACCAAACTAGTTGGCTCTGTGCGCAGTTTTAAAGTAAAAGGAACCTGTATTTTTTTCCACATGTCTTATGAACTATTACTCAAAAACACAGGGAGTGAATGTTGCAATATGTTGTACTTGTTGTTTCATCAGTTACCAAATGTTTGAAAAAAAAAAAAAAAGGTTTATGGAAACAAGTGCTTGAAACATTGACTTTTATTTATTATATTTTTGGATATGGACAAAACAAATGATAAATTGTTCAGTGGTGGAAGTCAGGAGACTAGTGTGTGTTGATTTTATCCAAATAAAGTCAAATACAGTGCATTTTACTCTGAAGTGATCTGGTCTTTTCTGCAATTTCATGTTGGACATAAACATTTTTTTTTTTAACGATTTCATCCTCAAAGGACTTCCCACAGCCAGAAGTAATGTCCTCCCAAAAAATAAAGTTTTTTATTTTTATTTTCAATATAATTGGTGAAATTGAAGAAATTTGTTGAAATAATATATTACATTTTCAAAATCTCTGTAAAATGGCAGATGTACGTTGTGAAAAAGAAACCAATTAACCAGTCCATTCCACCTGTAAGCTAATGGTGCTGAAATGTCCATAGAAATGTGATGGAGGTATATAAACTTAAGCTCGGTAGGGCAATAAAATCCTCAGTTTAGGTTTAATAGCTTCTTGTAATGCGTGTTAATGGGGAAAAATAGCTTTTCTGAAACCCAAGATATATTTTTCCTGCTGCGCGCTATTAAACTGTCTGCCTCCGATGCGTCTTCATCTAGGTCTGCCCGAGCTGCACCCCCCGTCCCTCCGGCCTCCCGGGAGGCGTCACGTTTCACCGCGGCGTGCCCTCTGCACCTCAGATGCTCTGCGTCGATAGGCTTTCTCGGAGGCAGAGGCCCGGCCGCGTTCCTCCCCCAGAAAACCGATGGGGAGTTGGGTTCCACTGACTCATGCATAAAAGATGAAATAGTGGAGCTGTACAGAGCTCTACCTGCTCCGTCCCACAGAAGTGGACGCTGTGCTGCTTTTTTTTAAAGGTTCCTGGCCGGTTAGGGGGGTCCTTGCTTAGCCGATGGTCTGGAGGGAACGTCGTTCCCAGGGATGGGCAGAAGAAGAACGCTGCTTTTCTTTGGTGGGTGAGTGCACGTCGTCCCGCAGTGGCACCCGCCTGGCGTCATGGAGCTCCCTCGACGCCTGAACTGGATACGAAACCGACACTGGAGGCCCCATGTCTACCGCAGGAAGTTCGACCGTGAGTGGGGATGAGTGAAAAGTCTCACGGATGTTTATGCTTTCATCTATTACTGTGGCTGCTTTTACAATTTGTGTTGCTCATCTGGATTTATACCGACTTCCTAAATGCTGCTGGGAACCTGAGAAGCTCCCATGTGCTTCACATCATGCTGTGAATGACATTTATCCAGGATTTGATTATTCAAAAATACAAATATACTGCTCAATTCTCTCTATCTTGTGCAATTTATTAGCTATGAGACTGACTCACAGGTGTCCATAAGGTGGTCAGAATGGAATACAGCTGGATGTACATTGTACATCTGTGGGTTTTTTTTATGTGCTTGTGTTGCTTAAATCTGTAATAACAAAACCCCATCCGTCCATGCTTTTAAACTCTTGACCAGCAGAGCTGTTGGGTGAAGCTAAAAAAAGACTTTCCCAGTGGACTGAAAAATAGTTTCTCTCAGCATTTCTCTGTGCCTGAGCAAGTTCAGTTTTTGTGAACAATCCAAAAGCTTTTTGTCCAGCTACCTGTCAAAAGATGGTCTGCATTGGTGTGTGATGGATGAGGGACAATAGCCGTGCAGTCAGCATTAGTGAGCTGTTCTAACTAAAATGGCAACGTGGAGGCAGGCAGAGGCATGAAATGCTGTTTGTTTGTTTGCTTGTTGTTGGCTTTTTCTCAAGTCCCGTGTCAATTAACCCAGATCACAACAAATTATATAGCCGCCGAGGTTTCCCTCTCATGATAATGATTTTATTGGACACAATAAGTGAAAGATCCTAATGTTTCCACAGGAGCAAAGGCAGAGAACACAGAGGTTCTGCACCACTGGATGATAAATTATGAAGTATTGTCCTGAAACATTCCCCCCCCCGCTTCACTTAGGTTGCTTATTCTGCTCGCATAAAAAGCACAACTACTGAAGAATAAAACTGAGCGAACCACCACTTACTCATTCATTATCATCGTGACTCATTATTGTCATTACTCAGATTCTTTTAAACAGATCATTTGTATGTTGTTATCTTTAAATTACATAAAACACAAAAAACAAATGTGCTTATCATGTCAGTTTGCATAGTTCTTGTTTGTGCTCTTTGTGGTAAATTGATTATATTGATTGATTGGCTAATTCCTCTTAAGTGTTTGTGAATCTACACACAGCCTTTATTGTTAAAATCATTTTGGGCTGTGAATAGTCCTTCTTAATCTAATCTAATAAGATTGTAAGATCTGTAACATTGCTTAATTATAATTTATTTATCCATTTATTTATTTATCCATTTATTTTCTTTTTTTTTTTCAGCAAACATGTCTATTCATTCCTTCTCTGGTGTACTGAAAGACCCTTTAAATTATTCTGCTTAATTTCATCAGACTACCAGCAGTCCTGCTTTTAAATCAGCACTTGAAAGAAAACTACTCTGGGGTTATTTATTATCTCCTAAGGAGGAGTCTTGAGTGGCTTTTGTCCACAGCTGATTAACTCAGTATTTATTAATGAGATGATGTAGCTTTCAGGGATTTACCACAGGTTCCGCTGACAAGGGAGCTCGAAAGAACATAAACCGGAGATTTGAATCGCTGGAAGAAAATTATTGATGCTGTGTTCAAACCAAGGTTTTATTCCAAAGCATCTGTCCTGGATGCTCTCAGCAGATTGTTCATCGTCTAACTGATGCTGAAATTTATGCTACGGTAAAAAGCCTGCAGATATCTCTACAACAATAATATGATCATTTCGGCAGCTAAAATAAGGCATTAGTAATCTTATCAGTTTATCAATTCATACTGTACGGTAATTAATGTTTGTGCAGTAAATTAACAGTAAATTTGATTAAAAAGACAAAGTACGAGTTTTTATCCAGACATTATGGCATCACAGTCTCTAAATTGTATAATAGAGAAGTTATACACATCTCACATAGTCAGCATACCTCAGATCTTCAAAAAATTGTTACCTTTTTCAGATAATTTTTTTGTATTGCATATCTTTTTGATATGAAGTAAACGCATAGGCTGTTTATTCATATCAGAATATTGTCTGAGTTTCAAACGGGGCTGAATCGAGTGTGATCTCCCCATTTCCCCTGCTGGGACTGATGGATTTTTGGGAGATTCACAGCATAAAGTACGAGAAGGAATGTTGTCGTGTTTATGTAATTCCAGCAATCGCCAGCGGGGGGCGCCAGAGTTCCGTTCTGTGTTCAGCTCAGCACAAACGTACAGTACACACACACTGTCTGTTCCTCTGCCAAGCTCAGGGGGGAGGGAAGTGTGGCAACTCAACCTAAAAATGTGTGTTAAAGGGTTGAATATACCTTTCTTCCTTTATTGACGATCGCAGATTGCTCTTCCCTTTTCTGGCAGCTCACTGAAATGCATCTCTAAGGCCGCTGCTTTGTTTTTTTTTGTTTTTTTAAGCCATTAATGGAGGAGACAGATACCAGGCACTTCAGGAGATTGTCTTGTCATATTCCTGTGACCTCCTGTCTGCGCTTTTCTCTTCTCCTTTGTTCCGCCTCCCTTTTTACTCTCCCCCGTCCCTCACCTCTGCCCTCTTTGCATTTACTTTATTGCCTCCTTACTCCGTCTCACCCCCTCTCCTACTTATCCAGTGTCCTTCTCCCGCTCGCAGGTTCACCCTTTGCCTTATATATGTCTGGTCCCTCCCCTCACACAGATCTTTATTAGCCCCCCCAAGCCCCCCCCCCATCCCGGCTCTCCTCACTCCAATGATGATGTTGCCTCCCTGAGAATCTTCCCACTCCATAGCAACGCGCCTCCTTCTACTGCCACCAGCACAGGAGGCGGTGTTGGGATGTTTAACTGCACGAGAGGAGATTACACACTGCTTTTGCTCATTTTCCAGCTACGGTTTAAAGGAATCACATTCACACAGGCTACTCACACACACTCCCCTCCGGTTTTTCTCATCTCTCTTACTCTCGCTGTCTCTCATTTCCCCACTCAGCACCTTTTTTTTTCTTTCTTCCCCAGCTCCCCTTTTTGTCTGGGTTGAATCCATTTTTTACAAGTTTTTTAAGGTGCATGTGAGTGGAATTGTGCTGGCCCGTTTTTTTTCTTTTCTTCCTCCCGTCATTTCACACTGTAAAGTCAACAAGCAGAGCTGCTGCGTGGGCTGTTTATGAACACAGAGTAAAAGACTAATGGAAAGGGAGTGAGAGACGGGGAGCTGGAAACAAAGGGCACGTGCACTGCTCACTCAAACACACTCTTTTCCACACAGCATCCTTCATAACAGATAAGATGTTAAAGGTTTTATGGTGAAATACCAGAATATCAATTATTTAAGATGTTGAATTGAAGGAATTTCTGCACGGACTGAAAACTAATTAGTTTCCTGTAGAGGTAGATAACTATTTAACCCTTTAAAGCCTGATCCAAGAATAAAACAAAACAGAAAATTACTTTTTGGGGGTTTGAAGTCTTTATTCGGCCTTTTAACAAAATAGGTAGAAAGAAAAAACAAAAATACATTTTTGATATTAATAATTTATTATTATGTGATAAGTCATGATTATTTTTTTGTGTAGTCTTCTGCCCCCTGTTATCAGGTGTATCTGATTGTGTAAAATAGGATTTTGAGCAAAGTTTTTACCATTAAATTATGCAAAAGGTGTCAGACGCAAAACATTTCGGAAACCGTATGAATCAAATATGATTCATTTGGCATTACAGGGTTAGCTACAGTCTTTTCCCAAACGTTCCTAAAATTGTGGTCATGTTGTGCAGAGCAGACAATGCTTTATAAACTCTCTACTGTTAGTACTCTTGCAAAAGTGTTCAGCAGAGCAAACCTCTGGCTTTTTGTGTTCGTAAATGTAATCATTTAAAGCCGATTTGATTACCGGCCAGCCTTGGAGGTGGTTGCACAGCAGTGGAGCTTGACCTCTAACCTCAACAGACAATAACAACTGCAAATAGAATTTGATCAAGATTCATGTTTGTGTTGTCACTATCCAGAGGCGAGGGGAAGGGGGGGTTCTCTATCACAACCACCTACCAGGGACCGGTTGTTGTCCTGTGCGCTTTTTTGCTTGTGGTGACTCA